GCCACTCTGGATCTGGAGGACGTTCGCAGCTACAGAGGAGAGCTGTGTCAGCCTCAGCTGGTGAGAGAGCGCCCCCTGCTGTCCAACCTGTGAACAGCACGAAGCTGCATTTGTGTTTTTCTCTAAAATGTTATCAGCTCAGTTTCTGTAATAACCTGTGACCAGCTTGACCTCCACATCATCACAGCTCCTCCCGCAGCTGCTTTGACCTTTGACCCATCCTCAGTGAGCGCTGCAGAGCTCTGAGGACGGGAAGCAATAAGATCTGCTTGATTTTAAAAATGTAAAACCTTGATAGTGTTCGAGTCCCTGCAGGTGTTTCAGAGCCACGAACGCTCTCGTGGTCAACCTTCAATCCAAACCAATCAGCGTATTAACCTGCAGCAGAGCTCGTGTTAAAGGTCATGCAGAGGTCACCTGCGAGTGGCGGTGCTGGATGAATGTCAGGTGCTGACGGTGTTCTTCTCCTCCTGTGGAAGGATTGTGAGTTCAAACCCTGTCACAGGGTCAAAGTGGACTTTTCTTTGTCCGGCTGTGACGACGTCTACCTGCCCTCCCACCAGCCAATAGAATGGCGCTTTCACACACCAGAGGAAGAGATCAGGTACGTTTAAATGAAGCTTTTGTAAAGCTCCCAGAGAGCCTCTCTCACAGCTGTTTGCTGCGGCGTGCTTCAGTTTAGGGCCGGCGTGCTGGCTGTGGGACTACCTGAGGAGGAGCGGCCAGGTGAGGACAGGTGTGAGGTCGTCTTTGGCTACGTTAAGAAGTGTGAGGTTGAGCTGAGCCGTCTGCTCGTTTGTGTTCAGGCTGGTTTCCTGCTGCCTCTGAGCGGCGGCGTCGACAGCTCCTCCACCGCCTGCATCGTCCACTGCATGTGCGTGCTGCTGTGCCGCGCCGTCGAGGGCGGCAGTGAGTACCCTCCTCTTCATCATGATGATGCTGATTATGTTCTGTTATTGGTGAATATTAACTGTGCAGATCTTCAGTCGGAGCATTTTGAGCTGAGCGTTCAGAGTAAAACAAATCTGAGGGTTTGCTGCTTTCAGGAGATAAACAGGAAGCAGGAGTGATGTAACTTCCTGCCTGCTGCTCTGTCTTCCTCACAGACAGTCGGGTGCTGGAAGACGTCCGCAGGGTGGTCGGCGACGAGTCGTATCATCCGCAGGACCCGAAGGAGCTGTGCGCTCGCGTCTTCACCACCTGCTACATGGCGAGCGAAAACTCGTCCGAGGACACGCGCAGCAGGGCCAGAGACCTCGCCAATCAGATCGGCAGGTAGGAAGCGGGTAGATCCGTGGTTAAGACCACGACGCTGAAACAGCTCTGACTCGTTGTGTCTCCTGCAGCACGCACATGAACATCAACATAGACGTGGCGGTGAAAGGCATTCTGGGTATCTTCTCGGCGGTTACCGGACGGTGGCCTCAGTTTCGTGCGAGCGGGGGAAGTGCGAGAGAAAACCTGGCTCTGCAGAACGTGCAGGTCAGAAGCTGCAGATGTTTGTGGCGTGCAGCGCCTCTGGCGGTTTAACCGC